TCCATGAATTAATTACTTGGTAGTTGTAGAAAACTGAAGATTGATGACACTAAATTTTAATAAGTTGGAAAAAATACGATTAAAATGGAAAATCAACAAACTTATCGCAGCTAATAATGCAGGACTGGATAGCTTAAAACTTCCTAAAACAGTTGCCAACTACAAACCAGGACAGATGTATGGAACTATAAAAATACATACACCTAACTTCCCTCTCGGTCCTATCATATCCTAAATCCCCACTCCTGTTTACCAATTAATCAAAGTTATTAATCAACTAATTACACCATACGTTCCCAATAAATGCAGCACAAAATCAACTCACGAAATACTCCAAATTCTAAAAACAAAACAAACTAATAATGAAGCCATAGCCTCACTTGAGGTTGAAAGTTTATTCACCAACGTCCCAATCAAGGAAATTATAGATATAATCATAAAGAACATCCATCTCTCCCTCTATTAAAAATTTGTTCTAATATTTTAAGAAAACAACTGTTGATGTGCACCACAGAAATTCCTTTCTATGACCATCAAAATAACATATATGTACAATGCGATGGTGTTTCTATGGATTTCGTTCTAGGACCAACATTTAGCTAAATGACTAACCTAGAAAATAACGTACCATTTACCTAAGATATGTAGATGATATTCTCATTTTAGTCAAAGACATAGACGAAATACATAAACTACAAAAAACTTTCAAAAAACTCCTTACTTAAATTCTCATACGAATTTAACAATGACAATAAAATCCCATTTCGTGATCTATTGATAGAGACACTAATAAAAATACATTAACTAACTCCCCATATAAAAAAAACAACTAGCATAAACGCTCTCAACTATAAAAGTGAATGTCCTATAACAAAATAGCTATTATAGGAAACTTAATAAACCGTGCAAAAGCAAACTCTTCAACAAGAAAGATTTTCTATACAGAATTAAAAAATATTAAACAAAACCCCGATAATAATGACTTTTCTAATTATATTGCTGATGAAGAAATTAGACAAGCTATTAGAAATATTAACATAAATAAAACTACATAGTAGGCTAAGATAACAGGTCGGGGGTGGCTGTTGGAGCTGATATGATGAATAAGAACCCCGAAATCAGCGATGAAGACGGCTTTCATCACTGATGATCACCTTTAAGCATTCGAATGTATTTTGCGACATCATCAAATAACTCTAAACATATCAAACTACTATACCATAATCAAAAGCATTCTAATTTAAGCACGAGGAAAAAATTCTAAAAAAACAACTAATATATCAACCACTAATCCAAGTAAAAAAAATAAAATTAATTATCTACTATACTAAATTTAATACAACCAACCTAGTTGTCTAAAACATTTGTTCTCCGTCAACTAGCATTTTACAAAAAACCAACATTGTATCTCAATTTAAATGATCTTTGGCAGCATGCACCGTTGATACAAAAAGTAATGCATATGTTGGTTTTACAACGACGATGTTGACGAGACAGTTAAATTTCATGAGTCCAATCTCATAACACTTAAAGGAACACTCATGTCCACAATCAAAGTTTAGACAGATATTAGTCGAAAATACATTAGTACTTCAGCAAAATACTAATAAATAAAAACTTAAAATTCTGGAAGACTATTCCATAAGCGAATTGCGGCCCCAAAACATATAAATTCAACTATGAGTATAGCAACAAAGTTCTTAAATATTTCTAGAAGCAAAGTTTTATATAAAAATACTAAATTCAAATATTATAATTAAAAAATCTTTTTTAATTACAAAAGTTTCCTCCCTTGCATAACTGGAAAAAATTGAATTTGAAACGCTTTAAGCAAACAGTGAAAAAAGCTTTTGAATTTACGAAGCTATTTTATACAAATCCACAGATATCTTAATTCCCTGAAGATAGTTTCAGATGAAATTGAATGTACTAGGGAAAACAAAATTTTTAAGAGAAAATTTTGGTATTTTTTCTTGATCAATTTCCTATAGCCAGCAAGAAATTAATTCGTGGACTAAAAAGACTAAAAAAAAAAAAATCGATATAATATGTCTAAATTATTTAACCAAACGTGTTTCACTATATATATATATATATATATATATATATATATATATATATATTCTATTATATATATAATTCTATCACTCGTTATCCAGCCCATTTTCTCTTCTTTCTCCAATTGTTTTAAACCTATACAAAAAATGCATGCGTGAGTATTATCCATTCACAAGACGGGTTGATATAAAGTTCTTGCCCCGATCAAGAAGACTTTCATCCAAAGATCTGATATTTGGTCATTTGTACATATTTTTAAGTGAATCGAAGACAAAGTTATTTCAACAACTTCTCGTTTATATATATATATATAAAAATAAAAGTGAACATATGCAATCGTCAGCCTTGACGATTGCGACAGTCTGTTTGAAACAGACTGTCAATAAGTGTCACCCTACGTTCATTTTTATATTTACACACGCTCTATCTCTGATATTGAGCACTTTATCCCATAAATATAGCACACCTTAAGACTATATTTTTATATATATATATATATATATATATATATATATTTGCGTGTATGTGTGCTATATAACGATGCTTCGAACCAGATATAAACTTTGTTGATATCGATGTTCCAGTTTGGAGTAGCATGCATACGAAATTATATATATATATATATATATATATATATATATATATATATGTGTGTGTGTGTGTGTGTGTGTGCGTGTGTGTGTGCGTGCGTGCGTGTGTGTTTATCTCTGTGTGTGTGAAATTATTATATGCCTGAAATTACGTATATATATTTATATGTGTATTTATAAGAGGAAAGTTTTAACCGAATAAAGATGACAAAAGGTTTTCAAATATAAATTAAAAAACAATTTGTAAAATTTTATATCATGAAACAGACTGTCGCTGCTAAGTGTTGATGTGGATATATATATGAGTCCGTCGCCTAATGATTGAAAAACAGTTATTTTGCGCGATAAATATCTATATTTCAACATAATTTCATTTCTTATATTATATATATATATATATATATATATATATATATATATATATATATATATATATATATATATATATATATATGCATGTATGTATGTATACGAGGTAAATCAAAAATTATCCGTGCTTGCGATAACATATATTTGGACAAAAGTGCGGTTAATTTTTTACTTTTTCCTCCTATATATATATATATATATATATATATATATATATATATATATATATATATATATATATATATATATATATATAAACCTATATGAAGATACATATATGTATGTATATAGATAATATAGATAAAATAGTAAAACAGACATAATTGTTTTGGGAACATTGGGGCCTCTCAATGCTTAAATGAATATATATATATATATATATATATATATATATATATATATATATATATATATATATATATAACTTTTATGTAAACGTATACAACTATACATTTATTTCAGTTTCCTTCAATTCAATTCTTGACCAAAGGCGGACATAGAATTTGTGTGTTTAACTACTTGTATACATACACGTAATATGAAATCAGTTATTGGAGTTCAATTTCCGGCCAAAAATGATTTTGATCACTTTTATAATATAACTCACGCAAAAAAAAAGCTTGAGTGCAATTCTATCAGATCTCTGCCCAACTGCCGGTATGTATGACGATACTGGCATTCGACAATGGTCGAAAGCGAAAACAGCTTAATCAGATTATAGACGTTGTTGTCGGTGTATGCCATCAAACACGACACGATATTTGCCTAGATGGTTATTGCTCTCTTACTACATATGAGAAGTCGTGAAGGCATGAAACCTCAACGTCTTTTGTATACTGTAACTAAACAAATAATCCCTTCATTTCTTGACCCTCGTAGCTAAGAGTCTAACGATAACACAGTAACTCCTCATTCCAATAAAAAGGGACAGGAGTAGAGACACGATTTGTTGCCTTATGCAATAACCGTGGGAACAAGGTAATTTCTAGGCGATATGTCATGCAAGTCTTCAGACGTATGTGAGAACGTTCGAATAAAACAATTTCGTGTCAGCTTTGTCTTCGAGTGACGACAAATAAACCAGTTTATCGATGAATGTGTATTTAGGTCAAGGAAAAATTTGCGACTTGCCATTAAATTAAAATGGATACAAATCAAAGAGCATTTTAAATTTTACGAATCAAACGCACAATGTGACTATAGGCACAACAAGCTTGTATGTATATATATATATATATATATATATATATATATATATATATATATATATATTTAGCCGTGTGACATCAAGTGAAGATTTGTTAAGCTATATGCTCCAAAATTATGATCCCCGTCCAGATTAATATATATAAGGTGAATAAATTATATAAATATCGCAAAACATATCTCTCTCTCTCTCTCTCTCTATATATATATATATATATATATATATATATATATATATATATATATATATATATAATACTTCTTACTATATAAGTATATGCGTCTGTTTGAGACCTCGCATGTAGTTTGCTTAATCTGACGCTGGCTCAATTTGTGATCGGTGTAAGATTGTACTGCTCCTATATTGTAAATGGTCCACTAACTCCATTCAGAATTTTGACGTTTTATTTTTCGGGGATAATTGCACCAATCAGACCAATATATATATATATATATATATATATATATATATATATATATATATATATATATATTATCCTAAACGTATATTTATTTGGCACATGGCCACATGGGAAGGAGGAAGATTGTGTTGTCGTTTAAGTCAAACGAGACTCTCAATATTGAAAATCTGTCTTCGAAATCTTGTTTTTTGTGGGTATTTGAACACTGGTGTAAATTTGCAAGTACCCCAGACATTAGGTAAGTCAATATATACACATATATATTGATATGTGTGAGTGTGTGTGTGTGTTTCATTTGATTGTTTCATAAATATTCTATGTCGACTGTCTTAGGATTGTTGTACTTCTTTCGCCTTTAACTGCGATGGTCTGAGAAGACCTGTGGAGATGGGAAGTGTCCGTAGCTACTTTGAATTCCGCCTGTGGTCATAAGTGTACGAGGTAACATGGGCCTCTGTCCTTGAATGCCGCTGGTGCCACTATATCTCAGATAGAGGGCGTCTAGATTGGAAATGATGCTGGCCGCTTGTGGGTAGTGGATTGACCAGTAAGGGTTGGTCTGTATCATGCGTTGCACCGCTGCGTAGTTGCCAGCCTCGGCCAGCAATTCAAGCCCCACAGCCGTCTGCCTCTTCCATTTCGTACTGGAAAATAAAAAAAATATATAAAATACAAAGTCAAATAAATACAATATAAAAAGATAAAAAACTAAACAGAAATTAAAAAGATGATTTGAAAATTTATTATTATAATTGTTTTAATGCTAAGGCCGTTCAAGACATACGCGGTTATGAATCTCCACAGATTTCTTTTCTTTATTATTCGTGAATTCTTGGGAAAAATAATAAAGGGATTTCTTAAACTGGTTGCCACTCAAGGCTAGAGAGCTCAGTGTACCTTGCTATTTAACTCAAGCATTAGCCTTTCGCAAGGGCATTTGCATGAAAATGAAAGCAACAGACTAGACTAGAATTTGAACTCGGTTCACCGATTCCACTTTCCCTACCGATACCTAATTATTATTATTAATTATTATTATTAGTAGTAGTAGTAGTAGTAGTAGTCAGGTTCGACTATCTAATTAGTCTCGGAGAAGGCAAGAAACTATCTTAGAAAATAAATGAATACACTTCTCTAGAACGTCCAGACTCATCCCGTAAAAGCTGGATTTGATTGTTATCAGTAAGGCAAAGAAAAATTCTAAAAATGACTGTTGCCAGTAGATGACAATATGAAAAGAAAAGAAAATGAAACATTAAGAACTTCCAAGATCTCTCGTTCAGGAACAATAAAAACATTAGATCATGGCGATTAGGAGCATGCCTATAATAACTGGCGCATCTTGGATCCATGTCAGTGGCACTAGAAACAAGATTGGATGTATTCGAAACCCCAGTGAGAATTAAGTATATCCAGATAACATTAGTGTTATGGTTTATGAGAACACTGTGGAAAGCACTGGATATTTCAGGTGACTTATTTTCATTCGATCTCCAGCTATAACAACGAGGTAGCTGTTGTGAAAATGGAAATGTATAATTAATAATAATAGATATAGTTCCTGGTAAAATTTCTGTCTGAAATTTGGAGATCATTCATTGTAATCATCTGAAGTAACATTATTTTCAAATATTTGTATGATTACATTTCAACCAATCAGTTATTCGCTCTTCGTCAGTTATATAATCCTTGCGGTAAGGTGTCTTTCTTAAAGATGACATCTAGATTTAATTTTTTTATGAGAAATATACCAGCCTGCGATGAATTATACACCTGGAGATGGCCTAATATGATCAGCCAAAGAAGTGGTGATAAAAACAACAAGAATGAAGATACTACCGAAGAACACATCGGTCTAAAAATTCTGATAAAACAACAAGGATAATGGTTACCGGAAAATAGCCGTTTCCATACAAGAAACATTGGGCATTCATTAACCAAACAGTTAGTCTTAATTTTGAATGAAGTTCACTAAGTGTTAGCACTCTTTCCTGGTGATTTTTTCTGGTAGTTTGAAAAGTTAACATCTTGATTCTATTATCATTTTCCATTCCAGTTACATGTACAATCCATTTTAGTTGTTACTACTGTTGGAGGTTTTCAAGTGATGTGATTTTTGTTATTTGGTAAAGCTCTTAGTGTGTGCTATTGTAGTGCTAATCTATCTATGGTCTGACAAATTATTGTATAGGATTCATTTATTTGAAGTCAATTTAACTATTGATCATGTGGAAAATATAAGTAACCTGAAAAAATCAACAAAGAGATGTTTTATACTAAAGTTTAACTAACCCAAAACTCGAGAGCCACTCATTTTAGAGGGTTAATTGATGATATGTTTGATATGAATATGAGGAAGTGGTAGGAAGAGAAAATTATGAATATAATGAGGATAGATAATTGACCCTTGACTTGAAGGAGTTAATATCGTAGCGTTGAAGAAAACACCCACAGGACGTCCTGTTTCACAAAATAGCAGTCCCCGGAAAAAAAAACTCTGCCTGAGTGGAAATTTCTTCTAGAGAAAAAATGAGTGTGATTCAACTCCGTGGGCGCAGAATGGCGTGTCTTAGCTGTAAAAGTCTGAATTGGTGGAACTGAAGAATGGTTTCTATTTGAACTTTTGCCCTAGAAATAGCGATAGAGTATCGATACGTTGATGATGTTGTGTTTGTGGGAAAGAGACTTTAGAATGGTAATCTTATCTCCCACAAGTAAACGATTTTGTACTCTATCAGTGCTAGGAAGTGAGGATTGATCACCTCCAGCTCAGATATGGCAGCAATACTCCATTTTAGGTCTAATCTGACTCTTGAAAAGATAAAGCACGACAGGAGTCAGGTAATTCCTGGAGCGATTGAATGAGCCAACCGTTAAAAAGAAAGAAAGAAAGAAAGAAAGAAAGAAAGAAAGAAAGAAAAGGAAAGATTAAAAGGTAATATAATTTTTGCCTTCAAGTCTTGCATTCAACTTATTCAGCGTATTTTTTGTATTAGTTGATTTTCTCTTTCATTATCTCTTTGTCTGTCACTCACTAACTCTCTCTCTCTCTCTCTCTCTCTCTCTCTCTCCATCAGTCGCATCTAGTAGCACTTGCCGGGAATCAAGTGATATCACGTCTCCTTAACATTTTGATATTTATCCAAATGTTCTCACCAATTCAAAATGTGGGCATGTTAGAATGATCAGAAGCCATGAAAGTCATATTTGCAATACTTTTAAGGCATTATTATTATTTTTTTATTTTCTTTGATTTCTGGCGTTTACACATTTCTTTCCGGGTCCCGCCCAGGGACCTAAGGTTAGAAAGGCGTCATGACACTTTTCACTGATAAAAAAAAAAAAAAAATTACATAGATTATTCATAGCTTTTCGATCCACATAAATGCCCACATTTGAGAAATTCCAATAATTTACAAAATAAATTTGGTTGGAACTGGATTAAATCCAGTTCCAGCCAAATTTATTTTAAAATTTTTCAAATGTTTCAAAAAGTCAATCCCATACACAAAATACCAGACTTAATTATATCGAGATAAGTTACTGTTTAATAAGAGAAGATAAACTTTTGCGTCACTCCCATCCCCCAATACATAGACACCATCACTACCACAGTCACTCACCCAAACACGAGAGTGGCAATAAAACATACATCTTTTATTTCTAACTCCAATCTTGACCGAACGCAAGATCAAATGTGAATTTTTCTCTTAATGTATTTAAAATCTTAAAAAAAAAAAATAATATCTCCACGTATTTCGCAATGTCCAGATATGTACTCCAGTTTTCCATTGTCTTTTCAGCACGGTCTGATAGAACAGTTATCTTCACTTGACAGATATTTTTCTTCGTTTCCAATTAATAAATCTAATTCACTGGCTTTGACTGGATTATCCATTTCAATTTCGAGGTTCCGTTTGATTTTTTTCTCATTTGCGCTAAAATTATTTCGCATTATTCCTGCTTTATCGTTGTTAGTTGCAATCGCAGTACTCATTTTACTATAGTAGGCGATTATTTTTAATTTGCATCATCTACATTTGCCGCTGATGTCGTAAAGGTTATCAGATTTCAGTTTTTCCTTCAATGTCGACGTTATTGTTAGCAATGAATTCAACTCGAAATACGAAACATTGGCGTCCTTAACAAGGGTTTGTGATTCTAGCCCAGTCCACTCTCTCCCCACAATCCCGATCCGACTTCTAATTGAATATCTTGTCGAAAACCCCAACCCTCTATCAGAGACGGTATTTTGTATCCGCCAAGCTTATTCACTCGTTTCCTCTAGTTGTTCCTTTTTTTTTCCAATCATTTATTCTATAGACGTGTACTTTTCTTTGAACATGGCGTGGGATGATGGCATTGAATCATAAAAACTGACGATAACTGATTACAAAAGTAAACGTAAAAATCGTTTCTGAATGACAAGACCCATACACACACAGATAGATACATACAGTTGTAACCTAAAAAGGGTTACTGAATGAGGGATAACTAAAATGGAGGTTGAAAATGAAATGGTAATCCTTATAACATCAACAAAATATAATACTCGCAACGGCGTGAAGTACTTAAACCACTGCTAGTGGTGGACTACTAAGACAGCATATTACCCCCACTTACAATTGTCTCCAACGTATTTATGAGGATTGGGACATACCCATTAGTGTTCATAGGTACGGTATATAATAGATAGATAGATTCTCTTCCAAAGGATCAAGTGATACCGCATGCTTAATTATCCAGCACCCTCCTTTATAATGCTTCCTATTTCGATAATGTTCTTTTTATGTACCATCCCTTCAGTACGTGGGCGATCATGGCTCTCCACAGCTTCCTACCTTTTTGTGTTAGATTCCCCAAACCTTTATTCTTATTCTTTATTCCACTGTCTCATTCTTATTCTATTTTCAGACTGCTATATTAACGCGGGGCCAAGTGAAACAGGAAACTCACTAGAGTAACAATGGTAAAGTCACTTTAAAATGGACAGCCATTAATCAAAGAATTTAAAGAGTTTGATCAAACTGTCATTCTTCCTGTTATTCAGAGTCTCCCGTGCCTCTCCAGACGTTTTATACATCTCTCGAAATGACAATATGAAAACATATATAACATAATTGTTTTAACTCTTACTCTTTATCTACCGAAGCTTTTTGTTTATATTTAATAATCTTTTTTGTTTGGTAAAAGTAATAATATATCTTGTAATTAAAAATTATACAACTAGTTGTATTCATGTAAATCTTGTAGTTGTGTGTGTCAATTGTGTAATAGTTTTGCTGTGATTGTCTCAATTAATGGATATCTTCGTTTTGTTTTTTTTTTGTTTTTTTTTTGTTTCTTTGGGGGGGGGGTGAAAGCAGATGTCAAGTTTGTATGTCCTTAAAACTGTATATGTTGTTGGCGCATCTACCGTCAAATGTTTCACTTAGCCTTATTCTATAATTTCACTGTAAGAAAATGTTTGACTCATGACTAATGAGCTTTCTCTCTGTTTTGTTCAATGATTGAGATACGTATTGATCCGTTTGTATTAGTATATTGTGCGATATCGGCTACTTCAGACGGCCAAAAAGAAATGCAGATTATGAAATAATTTATAATATATTTGACTACACCCGATCTCAAAATCTCAGATTGAAGAATCCAAAATATTCATAAAATATTAACAAGTTATTTTAAAAAAAAAGTTCCTTTTTGCTGCTTTGCGTGTGTTTTCTGGATGAAAATTATAAATAATATTTTACTTACCGCCTATTTTGGTACCAGGTTTTCACTTGTGTGTCTGTGAGATTGAGCTTTGCTGCCAATTCCATTCGGTCTTGGACGCTGAGATACTTTTGCCGTTCGAACGACTTCTCCAAACAATGAAGTTGGTGGTCCGTAAACGCTGTTCGAGCTTTACGTGGTTTTTTCGTCTTCATTGAAGGAATGTCTTGGCTCGACGATATCGTTTCGTCCTCACGCTTGACTGAAACAGAAAGTATTCCAATAAAACTTTGTGCAAAATAAACGAAAACACCAATACATTTCAAGAATTGTTCAAAATCATTTACATTTGAGAATTATTCCGACGCGTATCTTTATCTTTGTTATTTCCAGCATTAACTTTCGACCAGTGTGCGTCGGCCTAACTACAAATGCCAGAAATGTTAAGATGATGAAATTCTTCATTATTACGCTCAATGTGTTTTCACATCTTACTCAAATGTATATATTATAATTCTTGAAAGCCATTCAATTTATGCATGCAGTCAACCATCAGTTGACCCTGAAAGTATTCATACGCCTGTACAATTCGTGATTTCGTTAATATTTTCATTAAGAGAATGCGCTTTATTTACCAAGACAGATCTAAAAAGAGAGGTTTTTTCTCTATATTCTTATTGTTTCACTCATACGTCTTCTCTCTTTACATGTCCATTTAGGTTGTAAAACATTCCATTCAGGAAAATATTAATGAAATTACAAATTTTTCAGCATTAACTGCATATGTATTTATAAACTTGTTTCTATCTATCTATCTATATCTATTTACACTATATTGACTGTTGTTCTCATTTTTATTGCCATGTTCACGAAGTTTTAGCCTTTATACCCTCTAGCCTTCTTCAGGTAATAATAGCTGGAATTTCGAACCGAATCCTTTATTTAGATCACGGGAGAGATTGTTCTAATTCCACGTGCCATGCATATCTCAATTTCAGTTAATTCCCTTTGGTAACTCAACTCTCCAAATGTTTGTTCTCTCCGCTGTGGCCAAGTATTGAACTCGCAACTCTGGATTAGGTCACTTTTGGATCACGCAACCAACGATTTTATCCATTAGACCATGTATCCTTCGGGACAATTCCAACTAATATCAACGGAAGAATTTGGCATTAAAGATGAGGAAAACAGTCCGAACAAAGTAAATAGTTAAAATACCTCATCTAAGAAATATAGATTCAATCTGTTTATATCTATCTATGAATATAGGAAGAAGAAATATTCACATGTATGTATGTATATATGGGCATATATATAAGGGGTATATTTAAGGCATATAATGTATCTATGACTGCAGTAAAAACAGGCATATAATAATGTAATATGGAAATGAAATGCAAGAAAAAAAAACTGTTCTTAATCCAAAGGTAATTCGAAAAAAAGAAAATATTTAAAAATAAGAAACAAATAAACGGTTATCGTTCCAAGCTCTTCAGAGTACTACGATTAAAACAAACAAAAACAAAGACATTATAATACATAAGTAATATGAAGGTGAACACTATACTGACCCAAAAGCCACACTTGTGCGTACAGAGGAATGCCTATAGTGACTTTACTTATATCGTTTCCGGGACTTTCAGATGGAACTTTGAATGTACCTTACTTAAAACAGAGAACATATTTTTCGCATAGGACGAGTCACATTTAGGTTTACTTAATAAGTGTTCACCTGTTCAGACCAAGATGTATTGACATTATTATCACATTGCCCGTTTCAAATTTGGGTGGTACAGACTGTGCTATTCTTACTTTCAAACTCTGACTGATTATAACAATGTTACATCGGCATTTAAAACTGTCAATAACTAGATTAATCTAGTTTGGAGGAAGAACATCCTTACAAATTGATGGTAACATCGGTTGAAGAAAATAAACGAAACTGGCAGCTAAATGATGTCGCACACTGTTAGTAATTAGTAAATAATTTTATGTTTAAAAAGTCTATATGTATCTATCCATATGCGTATATATATATATATATATATATATATATATATATATATATATATATATATATATATATAACCGAATGAAATGAGAAAGAATTAAATTAAAATTCAAACATCCATACATTAATTTAAAAATGGGGCTCGATGCAATAGTAGAGCAATAATTCTTTATTATAGGATATTAAAATTGAATATATGTACTCGTTACATCAATGTATCCATGTTTCGATGCCCATCAAAGCATCTCATCAAGTGGTTGTAAGTGAAAGTGAATAACGGATGAGATATGTTCGATTGTAATATCATATAATAAAGTATATATATATATATATATAAAATATATATATATATATATATATATATATATATATATTATATATATATATATATATATATATATATATATATATATATATATATATATATATATATATATATATACACACCTTTCTGACAATAGCTCAATTAGATCTCATTTAAATATTCATGGATACCTAGCGGAGACTATTCGTAACATACTTGTCGACAACACTAATATAATAGCATCATCTACGTGCAAAAAAAAGGCCAATACTTAATAATATTAACGTTGAACATGGACATAATATCTTGACCGTGTTTTGAAACAAAAAAAAGAAAACATTTTATAATACATACATACAACTAACTATTTCTAATTTTCACAGCTAAATGTATAGCCGAAAGCGCTCGGATAAAAAGAACATTCGGACAGTTTTTATATAATTTATCATCCGAAAAGTAAAAAATGATTAGATCGCATGAGAAATTGTATAAAAACTACATAAAAGCACCTTGTCTGTTGTTTTCAATGAAATGTGCATGAAAGGAGGATCGCTGCCTAAATACAGAATATATATATATATATATATATATATATATATATATATATATATATATATATATATATATATATATATATATATATATCTCGCTCTGAAACAGCGAAACAGTTAAAAATGTGGATGACAATATATATATACATGCTTCTGAAAAAAATTCGGATGATTTCTTCGGGGAGAAAATGGAATTTGTAAACGGGGACTATCACTGCTGCTGATGCAAGACTCTTCGTTAAGACGAATCGAGTTCTCCGGACACTGGCGTGTTTGTCTAAATATAATTGCATCTAAATTCGCATTCATCGCGGCTTAGGGGTAAAATCTCCGACTGATAGCAAATCAGTTGGGTTTCGGTCTCGGCTTAAGGCAATCGGATGTCTAGCCACACTGATGAGCTGCGAAGCAGTTAAAAATCCCTATATTTATATATATATATGATTGTGGGTAGCAATTCGTCTTTTATACACGTTTCATTAAGGACGCCTGACAAGGTACTGCGATTAATCTTTTATTTAATTTTGTATTCAATTTATAGGAATGCAAAAAAAAAAAATGAAGTCCGTTGGTCTCGGCTTCGTCAGGTCGGAATGTAAAAACTGTGTGTAAGAACTTTTGAGGATTACAGAGGCAATAAATTAGCTTATCAGATCCATTGACCAGAAACCAGAATGTATTTATTATATATATATATATATATATATATATATATATATATATATATATATATATACATATATATATATATATATATTGTGTATTTGAGCAGCAATCCTCTTTTATACAAGTTACGTTAACGACAACTGACAAGTTACTGCGATTAAACTTTTTATTTAATTTTCTTTTCTGGACACAAATGGTGTAAAAACTATCCAAAAGTTCTGCATATCCGAGCACTTCTGCTTTTGCTTTAGCCATTATCAAGGACGATTTTTATTTTTGATAATGGCTAAAAGTATAGCCGAAAACATTCTGATATGCAGAACAGTAGAATTTTTTACACACTTTGTGTCTAGAAAAGAAAACACTTGTACGAACACAAGGAAAATTAAATAAAAAGCTTAATCGCTGTACCTTGTCAGTCGATTTCATTTTTTTTTTTTTTTCATGCATCGGCAGGTCTTAACTTACAATTGATTGTGGAAGGAAGTAGCTTTATTATAATTGCTTTATGTGAAACTATCGAAAAAAGCGCATGAGCAACTCTAACACCAGTGTTTAGTACGAGTGAATGTTTATAAAACCTATTAATAGTGAACAAAATGATGTCGTCTGCTTGTGATCACGCGGCTCCGCGTCTGTGTCCACTTATTTCACTCAGAACGTATAAAAAAAGAAACCAAGACTGAATGAAAAAAAATCAACAATTGTCATTATTGAAGAGGATAATCAGAGTCATATCTTTCCATTTTCGAGCCGGCGGATTCTCATGAGATCAGCGCTGGGTTCTAAAATCTAATTAGCATACGAGAGTCTCGCTTCCTCTCGTTTTCACCGGCCTCGTTTCTTTTCGCGCTACCGATTTTGTCAGTGGCGCCATCTAGTGACGATTTGAATTCAGTTTCACTTTCCTATCTTAATTATCGATATCGACTTTATTATGAAAGTGTGCTCGACGAAGATAACGGCGTGATTGGAAAAATTGGCGGGAATTGGGAGGAGGGGAAGGACAGAAGAAAGTTGTGCCGTTATTTTCTTGTGTGCTCACACAATATATTTTAATCACCAAACCGGCATTGTTCTCCAATTGTCAGACACGCAACACGCGCATGCGTGTTTAAAATTGATGCCCCTCCCAACCTCAACTCCCACTGCAAAAAATAAATAAAATTAAAATAAAACATGCACAATGGTACAATTGTTGTGCTGAGAAACAGAGGAAAATAGAATGTATTCCTTATATTTGTACATATTATGGGTTCGATCCACACCAGATGCCAAAGGTACTCTGTAGCTGTGTACCCAATTAAATCTAATCTTAATAAACAGTCTTGCAAATTAGGCGCTTCACTAGCTAAATTTATTTCATATCTACTTGGAGCACCTGTTGTAGACTAATGACTAACAAGCTACTTTGCCACACTGTGTGTTACTTCAGTCTTCACTGGGTGTCCCATCAGAGGGGTCTTGTGCCAAATTAGGCTAATTTTTTTTAGATGCACATGACAAAAGAGACTGAGAGATATATACGTAAATGTAGTCTCATACTGCCTCCAGGGAACACTCTTTGACACACACTCTTACAGTATGTACACACACAGACACATGCACATATTTAATATTTATGAACTTTGGTAAATATGTATAGATGTGCTGTCAAATCTGACCATCTTGGCAAAGACACACACGAATAAAAGTAGTTGATATTTTGGTAAGTGAAAATTTTCAAATAC